TTGTTGGTTATGAATTGGAGTATTGTGTTTTCCCATACTTTTATAAATAGCTAATTTATTATCTAGAGTTTTGATGGAACCTCTTGGAGGATGAATTATTGTTATGTTTTAATATAATTTAACCTTTGGATTTATCTACTTGTTCAACTACGTGCTTATTTCAGTTGGTTGAATGGCCATTGATTGATAAGTTGCGGGAATCGAGGTTGAGGTGGTTCGGGTATGTGAAGAGGAGAGACATAAATGCCCCGGTTAGGAGGCGTGAGAGGTTGATCATGGCGGACTGAGGAAGGGTAGAGGTAAGTTAAAGAAGTACTGGGGAGAGATGATTAGGCAGGACATATCATTGCTTCAGTTTACGAGGACATGACCCTCGATAGGAATATGTGTAGGTCGAGAATTAAGGTTGAAGGTTGATAGGTAGTCATGAGTTTCTCTAGGCTTACCAGTAGTACTAGTACTATTCTTGTATTTTCTTATTCCTACTTCTTTCTTATTATATGTTGTGGCATTCGCTTCCGTTACCTTATTAACTTGTCATTATTATTATTTGTTGCTTCATTTTCACCGTTTCCTGAGCTGATGGTATATCGTAGAGGTAAAGTATACGTACACATTATCCTTCTCATATCTCACTTGTGAGATTATACTGAATTTGTTATTATTATTGTCGTAATTTACCAAAAGTGAATACTTTTTATCTTCATTATTTAATAAATTTGAATATTTAATAAATTTAGTTGTTCAACAGGAATGGTAAGAAAAACAAGATTTAACCAAAAACACAGAAATACTTATCAAATTCTACAAAAACCAACACCAAGAATTGCAATCGGCACCAGAAATAGATCAAAAATAGTGAAAACTTGTTTGGGGGTGCAGGCGAAGGATGGGATAGGGTAAGGGTGGGACCGCTAGAGGTGGTTTTGGGCCGGTTTAGTGGGCCAGTTCTTGCCTAGGAACTGTTAGGACCGGGCCTGTTTGGCCCGTCAAAGGACCGGGACCGGACCGGTTCCTTAGCGGGCCAAACAGGCCCAACGTTAAAAAAAAACTAGCCGTGGCTATTTAAAAAAAGAGTTGTTTGGCTTTAGAAAATAGTCGTTGGCTATTTAAAAAATAGCCATTTAACCCTCCCCCCTCACAACTTTGTTTTAGCCCTAACTTTTTATAATTACACTTTTTTCCTATTTTCAACTATAAATACCCCCTCATTCTTTTATTTTTCTTACAAATCAATATCAATCTATCACAATCTCTCTCTAATTTTCTTCTATACTTGCTACTATTGCATACTTTATTCTAAGAAATAGTCAAAAAAATAGTGAGGTTGTTACAATTTGTGAAAAAATTGTGAAGTTGGTGAATTGAAGTCTTCAACGATAATCAATTTTCAACACGTTGTTCGTCAATTCGGTAAACTCGTTCCAACTCTTAAGTCTTAGTATTATAGTTTTGTTTGTTTTATTTATTTGCTATTACTTGATTAATTAAGATGTCTTCCTTAAGAAATATTTTTGGTAAAAATAAGAATAAGGGAAAATCTAAGACTGGCGAATCTAGTGGTACTGATGTTCCTCCTCCCCTGCCCCCGGCTCCTCGAACCAAACCCATATCCGTCCCACACCTGCTATTCTTGATACCGATACTAGTTTATTATAATTTATCGAGAGTCAATTTTGCCATAATATTGCACCCGGTGAACATTTAGACCAAGAATTAATGAATGCTCTCTATTTTAATAATTATAATACTATTGATGAAAATGATGATGGGGAAATTAATTTTGATAAAACTCAACCAGATGATGATACACCCGCTAGTCCTGCTCCTAATGTTAATCCAACGAGTGATAACGCTGCTAATCCAAATGATGACCCATCTGAAACTTCCGTTATTGCTCCTACTTTTTCTAGACAACCTACCAAACGGCAAGAAACATCTCTTATTTGGCCATATTTTACTCAACTAGTTCCACAAAATAAGGCTAAGTATAAAACTTGTGGTATGGAGTTAGCTTTTAAATATTTTGGATCGCGGGGGCGGGACGGGATCTTTGGCTAGACACATAGAAAAACACCCTAAAGATAACGTCAGATACAACGTCTGAAAGCTGTTGCTGAGGGAAAAAGTGTACCTAGTCCTAGTCAGGCTGACCCTAGTACCGGTTCAGATCAATTTCAACCGAGAATTAACACTGTTACCGGTGGTATTTTATATTATGATCCAAAATAAAATCGGGAACAATTGGCAAAAATGGTAATTGTTATGTGCTTACCCTATAGTTTTCCTTCTGACCCTTCGTTTGTGCATTATATTAAAAAAAATTTTAATCCTACTTATAAAGGTTTTCCTCGCACAACCGTAAAGAGCGATATTTATAAATATAAGCATCAATATAAACAATATTTGCGCTATTTATTTACTCATATAAATTATCGTGTTGCTGTTACAACTGATATTGGTAGAAGCGGCAACGACTATGATTACCTTATTGTTACCAGTCATTGGATTGACGGGGATTTGATAATGCAAAAACGCATAATTGCTTCACGTCACACATGGCAGTTTAATGCTAGCACAGTTACGAATATTTGCAGATATTTTTGCATTAGTAATAAAATAATATCAGTTTCAATGGATAATGCTACTAATAACACAAATGTCATAGACTTGCTTACCACTACGCTAAATCTTGTATTTAGTAAAAAAAATTATGTTAGATGTATTTGTCATATTTACCATTTAATTGTGGGTGATGGTATGGGAATTTTAAATATTCAAATTGAAAAGGTTAAAATGGCTCTTAACTGGCTTTTTCATTCAAACCGTTGAAGTAGACTTAGAGAATCTTTTAAAAGATGCGATGAATGTGGCCTAAGAGAAAGAAATGTTCCTAAACCTTGTCCAACTAGATGGAATTACATGTATGAAAGTTTGGTTGTTGCATATGAATATAGAAACCCCATAAACTCAACGTTTAATGCACATGTAAGTGATGATGACGAGCACCTTATGAACGGGGATTGGGTTAATGTTAAAATGCTTGTTGATTTTTTTAAAAAAAATTTATATTGCTACAAATGAATTTTCTGCGCAATATTATCCTACTATTTCTAACTGTTTAGTTTATATTGCAGAATTTGCAAATTTGTTTTCTCATTTTTCAAAGGGTGGGAAAATTTAAAAACTTGCTATTGATTCTATGAGAAAAAATTTTATAAAATATTTTTTCCCTATTCCCCCTATTTATGGTGTTGCTGCTTTGTTAAATCCTTGTATGAAATTAGGAGGTCCTCGATTTTGGTATGAAACTGTTTGTAATAATTTAGCACTTGAAGATTATGGGTTACCTAAACTTCCGAAAGCAATAGCCTCAATTAGAATAAATGCTCAAACTATTTATAATGCTTATCAAGTTGCATTAAATCATGCTAGACCAAATGTTCCAACTCCTTCTTCTTCTGATTCTCAATCTTCTAAAAGAACTGCGAGAGTAAGAACACTTAGTGCTTGGGCGGGGTTTAGGAGTTCTTTTGGTTCTAGTAGTAATGATTTTTCACAACTAAATGAGCTTGAAGTTTATTTGTCGCAGCAAATTGAGGAAGTGAATCCCGACAGCTCCTTTAATATTTTGCAATAGTAGAAGGACAAAAAAAATACTTTCCGGTTCTTTCAAGGATGGCCCGAGATATTTTAACTATTCAAGCTTCAACAGTGGCATCGGAGAGCGCTTCAAACAAGCAAGACTTCAAATTGGTGATTATAGAGCGTTTATGAGGGAGAGCTTGGAAAAATCAATACATTTTAGAGATCGGATCCGTTCGGAAAGAAAAAATTTTGGACTTGCTGAATCACAACCAGAGGAAGACGAAGCTTACGAAAAAAATGCTAGCTGAACTTGCTGAGGATGCTGCTTCGCCCGACAATGGAAGCGACGATGACCAAGCTACTTTTCCGTCACCACCAACGAAAACTCCTCCGAACCTTGAAGGGTTTATGAAGTTTGTAAGAGATAGCATGTAACTTGTATGAACAAAAATTAGTATGTATTATGTAACTTGTATTTTGGCACATCTTGATTAGCTCCTTTTTCTTCTCAATAGTGGTATTAACACCTTGTTGTGCTCATTCCATAGGAGGAAGACTAAGAAAGATATTGCCATATTTTTTATTGTTATAATAAAATTACAAGGCATTGCTTTGAATATCTTTTTACAATATTTTTGTCTTTAAATTTGAATTAAAAAATTATTTCATAATTCTATAATAAATTTGCATTGCCTTATATATTTCTTTAATATCTTTTTGTCTCTAATTTCTATTTAATTTTTTTTTTAAAAATCACTATTTAGCCGTTGGGCCCACTTAGCCCTGCGAGCCCGGCCCGTTTAGCCCGGGACCATGAGTTCATAGGTTCGGTCTCGGGCCGGTTCCTAAAAAAATATCGTTTAGCCCGGGATCGCTAAGCCCGTTTATTTAAGGACCAGGACCGGACCGGAACCCCGGCCTACGAGACCGGCCCACTTGCCACCCCTAGGATGGGGTGTTTGGGGTTGGGGAGGAGACAATCAGCGTGAAATGCCACTTATAAAACTTATTTTCGCTACTCGCACCAAGGAGGTTATTTTTCTGATTTTTAAAGAACTTTTTTTCTTAGAGAAACCAACCAAACATGAGAAATTGGAAAACATTTTCTGAATTCGGTACCAAACACACCCCTGATATAGAACATTGTATATCTATGACCGACTACTTATATTTGGGGCGTTTGGACAATATTTGATTGAAGTTGAAGAAAAAAATCTTTAGAATTTAAATTGAAAAAGAGTATTTGGAAGTAAAATGCATGAATAGTAGTTTTAGACCATTTGATTACACTAGTAAATTTGTTAAGTGAGACAATTCATTTGATAGTTAAAATGTTTCGAGGATTACATTTTAATTGATTGATTTTTGAGCCATTTTTTCACAAACTAGATGCACGGAGACGGAGTAAGCTGAACAAAAAATGGTGCAATAATGTAGTCATACTGGAAAGGAGGAGAATTAATAAAAGCAAAAATGTAAACATAACAACAAGATTTATTCATTTTACACACGTATATAAATCAAGCCATATGTTTTGCTATGATCTTGTTTTGGTTCTGCAACCATAACTGTTGTTCATGCAACAAATTCTGTTCATTCGGAATGCCATTAAACATCTGATCACTACTTGAAAACGTCGCGAATGGATCCTCCACGCTACTCTGCACTGCCCCTGAAGTTGAATTCTGAGCAGTAAAAGTTGGAGTTGCTTGGAATGTAGGTGCTGGAGTTGATGATGAAAACATGTCAGTAGACGTCGGAAATGTAAATGGAGCATTGGTGGCCATAGTCGGGTATGTGGCAGTGGCAGTGGTGGTAGCAGTCGTGACCGGTACCATGGCCAAGTCCATTGATGTATCTTGTAAAAATGGATTGTAGTGTTGAGGTGCTGGCAAAACTGGATTTTGATGAGTATATGCATTTAGCCCATTATTTGGAGGTGGCAAGTTCAAGGACAGATTCTGATCATTCCAAAAGTTGTTTGTACTAGCTGTATATTGTGTATTTTGGCCACCATTTGGAAACATTGGCATTGGATTCTGATTATACAATTCGTCCAAAGTGGCGAAGTTGAAGCTGTTAACGTTGTTCGTTGTACTAGGCATGGATTGTGTCGATTGTGCTTGTGGAATATTTTCGAATAATACTAACTCCCAGCCATTGCTTGAAGAAACCTCTTCAGCTGATGATCCTTTTGCTTCATTTGTTGGCGTGTTTTCTTGTCCTTGTTCTGGGAACGCATTGAAAGATGCTGATGGTGTTATTATCGCCTCAGTAGACGACCCTTTTGCTTCATTTCTAGGCAAATGTTCTGTTTTTGGCTGTTCAGGGAACGCGTTGAAAGATGTTGATGGTATCGCCTCAGTTAACACGAGTTCCCATTCTTTTGCTGAGTTAGAATCTAATGATGGATTCTGTTTATGTTCTTGTCCATGTGCAGCTTTTTCTTTGTTGATTTCTTGATCTTTCACTGCCTCCTGCTTTTGTTGTTTATCCTCTTCTTGTTTTCTTTCGTCGTCTTCATCATATCCTTGCCAATCTGGTAACGATACAAGATCAACCATTGAATTTGACACAGGCAATGAATGAGTAGACCCCGTATCGTCCTTCTCATGCAACTGCTTCTCAAATTGAATATCAGAATAAGCCTCCAAATCAATCGAAATATTGGCTGGACTCTTCCATGTTTCGGTTGCACTTATTAGATCTTCTAATGATGTGCAACGCGAATCAACACCAGAATTAATGCTCCTCTCCGAGTATGGCTCTGTCGTTTCTGTGGCCAATGAAAACTCAGATTGTCCGCCATAACTATCACGTTTGCTGCTCGTGGTCCTCGTTGATCCACCAGGTCCTGGAAGAAGCAAATGTGATTTGGTTGGTGTATTTGCTGGAAATGAAGATTGATCTTTGAGAAATTCTTGTAATGTTTCAATCAATTCCTCTGATATTGTTTGTACACTTGGATATTCTGATGTCCTACCAACTCCAATACTTTTACACACAGAATAAAAAGCACTAATTTCTTCAAATTGTTTAGCTGCTTTGACACAAGTTTGGAATGCATTTACACATGATTGATATGGTAAATGGAAAAAACTATCAAGAACAAGAGCAAGCCCATCTGATATATCTTTGTAAAGATCAAAACTTTCTTGAACAACAGCATATAAAGCGATTTGGACAAGACGATTCGTCTTAGCTGCCCCTGTTGGCCTTGTAGCGATTGCTCTCTCAATCAATCGTTGCCAATATGAAATCTTGTCGAGCAGCATTACTGGTTTCATGTCACGAACAGGCTCATCACCCCTTCTTCGACTACTCATACTCGTCCTATAATGGCTGCTAGAATTTTCTCTTTCGCGATTATTGTACCTTCTTTGAAGCTTTCCAGTAAGGAAACAATCCAAACGCTCGTCTAGGTACAGAGCAAACGTGCGAACAAAAGCTGTGAAATCCCATGGACTAGAATTGGAATCATCGCGGAAGCTAGAGAGGTTGAGAATCTTGGCCCCTCGTTTCATGGCATGAAGAACTTCTCGAGGGAAATAAGGATCACCATCTTGGAAAATTCTTAAGACAAGCATCAACGATTTAAGGGCAACGATCCAATTCCTCGTTCTACCAATACGTTTGCCAATGGCACGAGCACAGGCAGCTGCATAGGCTTTGTTGGAGGAGACAAGTTTGATGACTTCTTGAACATATCGATCGTCGACAGGCACATCATCATGACTTGTGGCTTTGAGTACAGCAACTTCAAGGGTTGAGGAAGTATTGCTTGCAACTTTTGCAAGGCTAATGCTTGTTTGATCTTTTACTGCACCAATTGCCTTCTTTAACTTGCTTGGCATATTTCTTTTTCAACTCTGGTTTTCTTGATTCAAATACAGAATGTGTATAACCAATTTGATCACATTGGCATTTACCAAAAGGCAATTATGATCATTTAGAGGGAAAAAAACACAAGAAAGAAGAATAATCCTTTTGTTTGAAGAGGATGGGGTTCTTGGATTGTCAACTTTTTTGGGATCTTGAAAAAAAGATTGTAAAAAAAAAAACTGTTTTTTGGATTCAAGATTGATGAAAAGTGAGTGAGAGAGAGAGAGAGAAGTTAGTTGAAAAAGTAGTTGGAAAATTCTTTCTTTTTTTCTTTCTCTCTGAATTGATTTGGTTAATGCAGTTTCTTGTGTTGTGAAGAATGAGAGAGCTTCCTTGAATTTCTCTCAGCCTAACATTATAGTGTACAAACGTGAGCAACACTAAAAGCCATTAACACTCATAGCCATACACGTAGATTATGAGATAATACCAAAAGAGTGGAGAAATGAATAAATAAAAAAGAGCAAGAAGATATGAAAAAGAGATCAAAGGATGAAAGGAACATGCTATGGTGAACGTGCTAAGCATTCCTGTGAATCTCTGATTATGATATGAAAATCAAACTAATTAACCTGCTGCTCATTGTAGGAAAAAAAAAAAAAAAAAAAAAACAGTTCGGTGCACAAAACATTCCGTATTCATACAGGGTCCGGGGAAGGGCCGCACCCTAAGAGGTGTGATATAGACAGCCTACCATAATGTGCAAGCATTAGTAGCTACTTTCACGTATCGAACCCGTGACCTATAGATCACACGAAGACAATTTTACTGTTGCTCCAAGACTCCCCTTTTCATTGTAGATATCTAATCCATGATTAAATCAATTTTTGAAATTTATAGAGAGATTTTCGGTGGGAGGGTCTAATTGCCTTCTTTAGTGAGTCTATCCAGTGTTGATTCAGGATTAATCACACCCCTTAGGGTGCGGCCCTTCCCCGGACTCTACATAAATGCGAAATGCTTTGTGCATCGGACTGTCCTTTTAACCAGCTTCTCATTGTAGATATTCAATCCATGACTAAATCAACTTTTGAAATTTATAGAGTTTTTCGGTAGGGAGGGTCTAATCGCCTTCTTTAGTGAGTCTATCCGGCGCGATTCAAGATTAATCTAGCCAGTAAATTTCACATACTGGATAATTAAACAACGAAGCTAGCATATTGAGTAATTATCATCAAATGATAGATCTTTTATCTTATTCTTATGTCAGTTGCAGACCAAGATAATGACAATACTAACTAATCCTAGAACTCTAACTATAGCTATAACTTGAAAATTAATTGGGTGCAAACTTAGGTAAACACTTGGCTGATAAATCATGCATCAAGTACTAAGAAGGATGTAAAATGAGCAACTATAAAAGTAGCCCGGTGCACGAAGTATCTCGCGCTCACGCAGGGTTCGAGGAAGGGCCGCATCCCAAGGGGTGTGATGTAAGCAGCCTACCGTGATGCAAGCATCATTGGCTGATTCCACTTCTCGAACCTGTGACCTAGAGGTCACACGGAGACAACTTGATAGTTGCTCCAAGACTCCCCTTTGAAGCAACTAATTAGATCTAAATATTTTTCGAATAAATTTGTTTGCAAAATACCAAACACAAAAATGGAAGTCAAATTATTCTAAGGGAACGATTGATCATGATAAAGAGGAATAGCATGTGTGGTCACACACCAATTTACTGTAGTACCCCACTTGCTTGTTTCATTAGTCTTGAAACTTTAGAAGTTCTTTTGCTTTTTTTTGGGATGAATGGCAATATGTGTGGTTCTCCTGACTTGCTACTTTTTCTTTTGATATTCATTCTATGCATACACCAAATTGAATGGCAATGAAGCAATTTCTTGTAGGATCAATTCACTTATGCTAGTATTTGTCAACTGTGATTTTCGAAATAGATGCCAATATACCCTATTCTTTATAGCAGGAACCTAGAGAAAATGTTTTCCAAAATCTTTGTGGTGGGTCATCTTGGAATCTGAGAAGCTTTTTTCAGAAGGGAATATCTTCAATTTCTTCCTTTTGCAATACGAGAGCAAAAGTTGGGAGCCAAATTTCTTTTGATGTATTTATACTGGGGCTGGGTTTAACTCTAGAAAGATTGGTTTTTTGGACATCCACCATCTATGATCATTAGCATCTACATGTTCTGGTTTTTTAGAGTCTAACTATACTTAACACAAAATATGTAAAGCAACTGCTCAGCAGGAGACTTGGTATTAAAAGGAAAATATTACTAACAAATTTCACCTACCTTTGCTGTAATATAACAAGTCTTTTTCTACACAATATCAAGTAGTAAGGAACCAGGCGAAAACAGTCTTTAATATCTTGTACAGATTAGAAAAAGTTGGATTTCCTGAATAACGAGTCCATTTGATGGCACCTCAAGTTACAGGGATGTCAAACTCTACATCTAGTGATGTATAAGGCACTTACTCCCACTTTACATCCAAACTTCTGAAAAACTTGGTCTCTTGGCGTCAGCAACTGGCATAACTTTCTGAATACTCGTTGAAGTTGAGGACTTTTCACAAGGCAAAAAGGCATGTAGTATCACGAACCATCCATGGAAATGTCACTACCATTTGGATTTTGATCGGCACTCAGAGGGCTTTGTGAGACGTTGCCCTGATTATGAGCAGCACCAAAAGTGAATTCCTGTGGAGGAATGTCAAAAGCAGGACGGGCAAAAAGTGAAGGAGCACTAGAATTATTGAAGGCTGGAGCAGGAATGGGGTCGCTGGGCTTTGGGAAGCCAAAGTTGAAGGATGTCACAGGAGAAGGGAAGGATGGCATGACAGGGCAGGGCTGGTTCTCAAGTGACGCCAAGATCTTTTGCTCGTACTTCTGTAGCTGTTGGTAGACCTCTGTAGACATAAAGAAAAGAAGGCGTCAGAGAGACGCAAAGCTAGAAGTAAACTTTTTAACTAATATCAGTTTCAAAGAGCAGCCACAGCCCAAGTGAAGAAAGAAAGGTTTTGTGAGCTGGCAACTCACCAACACAAAGGTTAACGGGCTCTGATCTTCTAATTCTAGAAGTCACTACGCTTGCACTCATAATGACTTAACTCTATTAGCTTGGTCACAGTTTATTCCACCAACGATGCACTAATGTTGTGCAGTTTTTCCCATCCCTATTTTTTCAATTTACCATTCGAGTATGAAAATAGCATCCAAAATCAAGATCAACTATCTGGCCTCTTTAACTATAAGGATACCAGGGTTTGTCATCTCACAGATTTGCATTTTTCAGAATGTGTAGAGTTAGTACCTTAATATTTTAGCTTTACAACTGTATGTAAAAGAAGAAATCCTTATAAAGATAGCAGAGTATGTAGACCTTGAGTTAGGTCAACAGAAGGTCTTCGCTCTTTCACCCACTGAAGGCTCTGTGCAAGGTTACATCTTCTACTTTTCATCAAATAAGCAATTACAATGGCTGCCGACCTATTAAAAAAGCACAAGTCTATGAGTTCTACATATAAAAACCTCGCACAAACCAAAATGGTGGTTTCTTCAAGGACAATCCCACTCCACAAAACTGCTGTAACAGTAAACTGCACTTATCATTCTCAGTGAGAAATATTATTTTAGCACTAAAAGTTGTTTAAGTTTCTGAGAGGAAGCTGAAAAAAGAGCACAAGTTTAACATCTATACCTTAATTGTGGAAAACCACAAAGGGAGAACAAGAGAATGGAGGAGAAAAGGATAAAGCACAAACACGAAAGGAAAAAGGCAAAATGTAAAAAGGTTTATGTGAAAAATTGATAATTAATCTCCTTACCTGTTTTTGCCTAACATGCAGTGCACAAGAACACGAGCCCTATCCTTTTCACATTCTTCTGCACAAAAAGAAATATTCTCAGATTAGTCAGCACAATGCCTCCAACAAAACATGAAAGATCACTGGAGAACAAGCTTGAGGTCATAAGCATGATATCTACTGTAGCAGTCAAGGCTGACGGTGTCTTCTTTAGTAATGATGCAACAGCTAGAGACATGTAAACGGAGGCTTGAGTTGAAACATATTAAATGCTGTCATGTAGAAATACATGTATAAAGAAACCTTAATAGAATGTTCTAAAAAAAGAAAGAAAAACAAGATCGTCTTTCCAGGTGAACCTGTTGTAAACAAATCTGTGATAATCAAACGTTACATGGCTCAACATTCAACTAGAGAAAGCTACCATTCAATGTCCAGCAGAGAACAAAACTCAACCTTTTTTTTTTTTTTTCAAACGATCCACCAGGTTGGTGGGAGTTAGGAATAGCCCTAACCTGTATATAAATCAAATAACAGAAGTACATGGAGGAGGACATAAACCATAGCCTCCAGAGTATGATGAACAGTGCTGCTAGGCATTCCTATGCAAAAATGCAAAAGAGTTGTAGCTAAGATATGGGAGGACTCCTCCATTACAATATTTGAAGAGTCAACTATAAAGCACAAAGCAAAACAGTTGAAGTGTATAACATATATAAGATCCTTCATCTCAGCCATTACTAACAGAGAATAGATTTTTCTTTTGCCTAAATCTGAAATTGGGGAAGCCATCCTGTTCTTGCTTCAAGTAAGCTCTAACTTGCCTTGGCAAAGAAAGATCTTCAGTGAAGACAATCTGGTTCCTGACTTTCTCACCCAAACTTACCATTTGGTCTGCAATCACATTTCCTTCCCTGAATACATGAACAAAAAGGAAGGATCCCTTCTGTATCAACTCTCCTATTTGTGCTATGATGCTATGAATTTGCCATGGAGGTCTGACTTTCTTATTGATTATATTAACCAACATAAGAGAATCAGATTCAACAATAGTCTTAAGAAATCCTCTATCAATACAGATACACAATCCTTGAAGAATTGCCATAGCTTCAGCCACATTGTTACTACAAAGACCAAAGTGATCAGCAAATGCTAAAATCATGAGGCCACGATTATATAGCAGTTTAACTCGCTATGGCCACACATTCGCGGGGTGGCTTGGTTTGTGGATAAGGGATAATAATTCCGGGATAAAATACGGAATTATTTTATCCCGTGTTTGGTTGAACTTTTGATTTTGGGATTAGTCAGAATTATTTATACCATAATTGTTATATTATTTCTATTCATATGGAGAAGAATACTCCATTAAACAACACTACAGCCTAAATATCACATTTTGCAATATCAACAAAATTGTTTGGTGATAGATTATTATTAGTTTGTATAAATAATAAGCTTCAAAGCCCAACATATCCACAAGACAAGTGCCGTAGACACGCGAATGTTAAAATGGATGTGTGATCATACAAGATTACAAATAATCACATTCAGCATAAAATGCAAGTAGCACCAGTGATGGATTAAATGAGAGAATGTCCCTTAAGATGATCTGCTCATG